TCATGTGACCAAGTCTGCAAGGCCGCAAATTTGTTGTGTTATAAGCAACTGTAGCAACTGTAGTAGCAACAGGCAACAGTGTTGAGTAAACCTATAGTCATATATAGTGTGTCAGTTTTCTTACCCCGAGTCAGTACTAACGCTTCTTCGGTAACCTTCCAGTGCTATTTGAGAACACTATTGAATGACCACCCTCATTGAGCTGCCCAACAGAAATTAGATTTTTCTTCAACTCAGGAACGTGTTTGACCTTTTGCAAAGTTCATTTGTTCTTGTTAGGGAGTGCAATATCAACGTCTCTCATCTGCACCACGTCCAGAGCTTTACATCAGCCAGATATATCTTTTAGTTCTTGTTAGGGAGTGCAATATCAACGTCTCTCATTTGCACCACGTCTAGAGCTTTACATCAGCCATATATATCTTTTCAAATTTACCTGCAACATAATTTCACATCAACTCACGGTGAGAAGATGTATGGAATGAAACCCCTGAATTCAGTATTCAGTTATCAACAGAATTGTGAACTGCCAACAATAGTGCATCATGTATCTCTTCAGTCACCACATTTGTGTTATCATTCTCTTTCTTAAAATTCCTGCATTTCATTTTTATGTGGTCAGTCTTGCCACAATTCTAGCAGGTTGACTGCTGATCAGATTTTGATTTTAATCTTCATATGTGGTCAGTCTTGCCACAATTCTAGCAGGTTGATTGTTGATCAGATTTTGATTTTAATATTCATCTGTTTGAGTTCATGTCCTGTGATCTCCCTCTGAAATCAACAATTAGTGTCGAACTCGAACCCGAGGTCTCGCCAGAATCTTTCTTGCGCACCTCTTCAGTCAAAATCAAATCACAAATATCATCATATTTCAGTTTATATTTACTTGCAGAACTTCTAACTATTATCCTCATGGCTTCCCAACTATTTGGCAATGAAGCCGCCAACAACAACGCACATCTAATCATCAAAATCAATTTCAATAGAAGACAATTGATTTGTGATAGTATTGGAATTATTTAAGTATAGCAACACATACACCTTCCGTCATCTTTAACTTTAATAACTTTTTCATCAAGTGCACACTGTTATTCGTCGATTACTTCATACATATCTGACAAAGCCGTCATGAGATCTGCAATAGTCTTCTCATTGATGACGTTGTAAGCAATCGATCTCGACAATACTTTTTCATCAAGTGCACACTGTTATTCGTCGATTGCTTCATACATACCTGACAAAGCCGTCATGAGATCTGCAATAGTTTTCTCCTTGATGACGTTGTAAGCAATCGATCTCGACGATATTAATCGAATAACCCCCAGAACCTGTCGATCCAACAGATTCAATTCTGCATCGTCCATCTTTACGATTTTTTTCCAAATAACGGAAGATGAAGTTTCTTCCCATAGAGTTTTCTAATAAGCAAAATCTGTGTCATTGAACTTCTTGATCCCTGATGTCATCACTTCATCTCCGCCCATCGTTCTTCCTTAGATCCGAACGAAAGCTCTGATACCAAGTGTTATGAAAAACGACGACAATAAAGTGAAAAAAATTGAATAAAAAAATTGCAAACAAGAAAAAACCACACAGATTTACGTGGTTCGGCTAATTTGCCTACGTCCACAGAGCAACAGAGGATTTTAGTACTTCAAGAAATTACACCGTCGAGCACCTCGATGTTTACAAGAAAACTTTCTTTCTCTTTATCTCTTCCTTTCTCTCTCTTAGCTCTCAAGAGGACTTTAGCACTTATGACAATATGACAGACCAAAAGATGTTATTTAAAGAAAACGGGAGAGAGGTGAGTGGAGAGAGGTAGAGCGAGAGAGAGAGGTAGGTGGGAGAGAGGTGGGTGGGAGAGATAAATCACAGGCTCCACCTAGCAAATCCTTCCCAAACATCTAATAAGTCAAAAAGTACAACCCAAAACCGTCCACCTTGAACCCACTGACACACATAACCCGTTTAACATAAGAAATAACAATTATTCAAGTCAAATTAGGGTCTATTTCGAGTCAATCTCAAATCGATTTTGGGTTGATGTCTCAATTTCGGGTTAAGGTGTCAATTTTGGTTGGTTGGTCAACCCGAAATCGACCCAAAATATTAAATAGGGTATTATTCCTAATATGAACTCAACCTGAAAAATTATTCAGGTCAACCCAAACCCATATTTTTCAAATCAAGTTCGGGTCGAGTTGACGTGTGGGATCAATTTTTGATACCACTATTCAAACTTGGTGTCAAGCCAACTCATGGGAATCTAAAGTCCAAATGGTTTCATGTTATGGATGACTCTATAGAGATTATACTTTTGAGTGTCAAAATTAGAACAATTTAGGGATTTTTTGGGATCAAATTTGTTGAGTTTGTTTTTTTTTCTTTTGTTTTTAAAAATATGTTTATTTTGTTTGTTTTTTATTTGTTTTTATTTTTTTGTTTCTAAACAAAAATTAACATATTTTTGAAAACACTTGAAACAATATTTATGTGCTTTCAAAAACAATTATATCGAAATCAAATATGTCAAACATGTTTTGCTTCAAATCAAAACATAAATAAAAAAATAAAAAAATAAAAAATAGAGCAAAAAATAAAAAGTTATCCCAAACGATACCTTAGAAATTACGCGAGAAAGATTATTTTATGGGTAAAAATAACTTGAGCAAGTTAACCAAACAGTTCGTATATGATATGATCTTTTGATTCATTCGAGAGTGTTCTTGTAGTAGTTAATTAAGCGTGATTGGTCAAAAATGGGCAGGAGTTGTGAGACGAAGCAGCAGGTCGTGCAACAAAATAGATTAAAATTTAAGCAAAACGTAACTGAATGGAAAGAGGTTAGTAAGGGACTATGGACCCATGGCTTCATACACTCGACAGCCAGACAAAACATTGTTAGCTATGCTAGTGGTGGAAAAAATTCCACTGATTGACAAGCAAACATGTTCCTTGTTCTTTTGTCCCCTTTGACAATTACTCTGAGTTGCGAGCTAAAGCATATGCTGAGGAGATGACACTGTCCAGGATATATCTGATATAACATAATGTACTAGTAGGATGATCACAATTTGATAGCATATTTGAGCCCTTTTAATCCATATAAATGCGAGCTTACAACAACGACAACTTCCAGCTGAAATGCTAGAAACTGCAAGGAAATGATATATCCGGAAGAGGCAAATCGAAGGAAGCTTGAACAAAGGCAACTAGTCTTTTAGAGGTGGTAACTTACATAAGAAACCAAGCAAATTCTCCTAGGCTTAAAGTGGGGAGACCTCGACTCCCTAAATTTATGGTCTCTCCAGATCTACAGTTGAAGACTTCTACTTGGCTGAAACTCTCTTTAATATCTTGTTAAGCAAATGTTATATGATGATATTGCCTTAAGTTTGAATATTTTTTAGTGCTTATTTGTTTTAGCTGCTATCAATAAATTGATCTACAATTGTTAGTCAAATAACACCAAGAAAAACATAAACAATTCATTGCAACTACTTTAAAATTTGAGATATGATATGAAACAACTATATTAAAGCGTTGAAACATGCAAACAAAAAAAGTGGTGAAATTTTCCTCTGTTAGAGGGGAAATGGGTATTAGCAACGGTGTACACAAGTCAAGCCTCACTTAAGACACCACCAACTTGAGCTTGACTATGACTAAGTAATTGAGTTTGAGCTCAAGGTTAAGTTTAATTTAATGAGTTCAAGCAAAGGTCACGAGCCGGGGTCATTTATTATGAAAGAAAAAAAGATAATTATAATTCAAGTAACTCTTACAATAAATGGTTAAAAAAAATGAAGTTAAGGAAATAATAAAAGAATACTAGACATAATGAAGAAACATATAAACTTTAAATATTTTTAATGAATTCATACATAGACCATTAAGTTTTAATATATTTAAAGTATAATTTACATTAAAAATTTTTAAATGAGTTGGGTCACAAGCTGATGAGCCAAGTGGAGGGTGGCCCAGCTTTTAGCCACTTTAACTCATCAAGCTCAACTCATGAGTCATTTATCAAGTAGAGTTTGCACCAACTCATAAGTCGGCTTGACTAAAGTTTCAACCCTCATCTCCTTCAATTCTAATTTCTAAGCAAATAAATTGAAAAAAGGCAAATATCAAGAGCAACCATTACAAGCAAATGGAGTCAAAAAAGGAAAATATCAAAGAACAACCGTTCCCTTTAACATCAATACAACTTTTTGGCGTACGTGATTCCATGAAAAATCATTCAATTATTTCAAACCATAACAAAAAAACAAGATGGATTGCAGGAGAACTGATAATTGATTTTCTAGTCCCTTCAGTGACAACCAAACTAACCCTTACTTTCTAATCCCTTTAGATTCGCTAATAATACCTAAAGCGCATTCCCAATCATGAGATAAGCATGTAGAAGTTTCTAGTTTCTAGGGGGCTTTCTTAAGTGGCAAAAAAATTCAAATACATGCAAGGTGGACGTCAGATCAAAACATCAACACTATTTTTAAGTCGTATTCATTCAATAAATTCATTGTGATGGATGGATTTCAGTTTTGAGGTCGTTCAGGTCGGAGCTTACAAATTAACTTCGGGGTTCTCCCAAGTGGAGAAGAATCCTTATTCCCATTCAATGAGTATTTGTTCCACACAATCAAACATGCAACTGTACCCATACTGATGGATATCAAGTAATTGCGGGAGAATTTATATCATGTACCAGGCATGAAACAAATCAGATGTTATTTACAAATAAAAAAATATATAAAAGTTGAGCGCAATTAGCATCAATTATAAATTGTACAAACCACCTGTCCTAAGCTGTATGATGTAAAAAAGTACAACATAAATATTAAATAAAAACAAATAAACATTTACAATGAAACAAAGTGAGAGCAGCAAGGGGTAAATGCCAGTTTATAATGCTTCTACTAGAAAAAATTAGACATAATCTAAAATAAGTATGCATGCAGAAATCAATTTCAAAATCTGCAACTCACCCAACAAAGAAGCGCAAGGCTGGCTGCTCTTGGTCCAGGTTTAGCAATGCCCCTTCATTATCCTTTAGGATTGAACCCAATATCTCTTTGAGAAGATTAGGCAACTGTGCAAATAACCACAAGACGCCAAGATACTTAAGAATACCACGTAAAACCTTTTTAAGTGCTGCTAGGGGAACCCATCCACCTCCATAACCTCCATCATCTCCAAGACCAATAAAAGCAGTATTCAGTTCCCCTCTAACATGCACAGGGACGCCAGTACCTTGAGCTATCCTCATCGGTACCCCTGATATACCTGAAGGCATCCCAGATGTTGTTAGCATGTTATTGCTAGCGCGGCTCAAGTTGCCAGACATCTGGTTCCCAATAAGAGCTACAGGTCTTGGCATTCCAGCACCAGTAACAGGACCAGAACGATTTCCATTAGGTACCATAGGCTGAGCTATAGAATTTTGTGCAGTATTGCTTGAGCTCAAATGCCCGCCAGAATGTGCACCAGCAGGAAAATTAGGCTCCAAAGCATTCAAACCTTGTGCAACATGCTCCATGATGAAAGGCCTAAACTGTGGGCAAGGCAATGAACCCCCCGATGCAGGCCCTCCCTTTGGTGGTGTTGCTGGCTGCAACCAAACCTGGTCTCCAGCAAAGCAACGCATATCAACAGCAAACCTCTTGCGATATATTATACGAATCCAATACGGGCCTCGCAAGACCACAGAGACATCAATGGGTAGCAGTGAACTGGGAACAATTCCTGAAACACATCTTCCAGCAGCAGACAGAGTTGCTGCATTTTGAATATTGTGACTATTAAGAGGAGCTGAAACAGACGTTCCTGTTGAGGCTGCAGGAGATACAGGCATAACAACATTAGACATAGATGAATTAGGGAGAAATCCCAGTGATGGGACATAGCTTCCAGGTTTACAAACGGGAGAGGGACCAGTAGATACAGGACCAGACATCCTAGCAGGAGGTATCGCAGCAGCTAGAGCCAGCAAGGGTCCAGCAGTTAACCTGATGCAATCCAAGAAGGATGCAACATCACCGCCATTGATGAAGTCCTCCAGGAACTGCATGAAACAAAATCAATTAGCCGGTGCAAGATCACCTCCAATGATAGAAATGCAAATCTAAATTGTAATAACATTATAATTGTATGCCTTATATAGAATGCTACACAAAAAATTTGAAACAATATACCATTGGTATTCTAAACTAAAATGGTGCCATAGCATTGATTCAGGGTAAGCAACTGAGACACAAAAAGAGAAGTAAATGGAAAGCTTATTGCTTGTTCAAGTAAAATGCAGCACACCAAACCTTAATTAATGTGCAATTAATGTATTTTCTTCTTTTCATTAGCTGATTTATTTATTTGCTATTTCTAAATTGGAGTGCATATTAGTGATGATGGACAAGTAAGGTTGTATTTTAATTTCTAACTTTAGATAAGGTCACATGGCTGTAATGGCTTCAATCTTGACTCATTTTCGTTTAATTCTAATAAATGGTTGGGAAGGCTGTTGTGGAATGCATTATTTTATTTTATTTTTTCATTAGCTGGTTTATATTTTCTTTTAGCATATATTCAACAATTATGGTAGAAAAGGGTTGTACTGGCTAATAAACGTTGCATTTTTTTCCAAACTATATATTGAACTACATGGTTGTAATGATTTTAGTCTTGATTCAATTAGGATAATTTTAAAAAATTATTGGGGAGGTTATTGCAGACTACATTATTTCTTCATTGATTCAATTAGGATAATTTTCAAAAATTATTGGGGAGGTTATTGCAGACTACATTATTTCTTCATTTATGCTGCTTCCAGTTGATAGAGATTGGCAATTTTAGAAGTTATTTTGCTCATTGGTTGTGATTGGAGGCTACTGTGGGATAGCTAGGTTGGGTTAGGTGTTCCTTGAAGTAGATTAATTGGGTTTCGGTTTGAGTGTTGGAGTGGAGTTTAGAATTATTAAGTGGCAGCTTTAATTGCTTTTTTTTTAATCTAAGGAAAGACTTTGGGACCGTTTGGGGCGGCTTATAAGTGCGGGTGGCGTTTTGAAAACGCCGCTGTCCTGTTTGGTTCGCACTTATGCACAGCTTATAGAAAACTGCGTTTTGAAATTTATAAAAGACGCGGCCCCTGGGAGGACCCCACGGGCCGCGTTTTCAATTGGATTATTTACTCCTGTGGCCTTCTTCGTCTTTTCTCCTTCGCATTTCACTCTCAAAGAGCGGAATCGTCGTTGTTTGCCGAGTTCGCTTCAACATTCGTGGAGGCTTCGGTCGCTTTCTCCTTCGCATTTCACTCTCAAAGAGCGGAATCTTCGCTGTTTGCCGAGTTCACTTCGAGATTCGTGGAGGCTTCGGTCGCCGAGTTCGCTTCGGCGTTCTGGGTCGCGAGTTCGCCGCCATGGATCTCCTGGACTGCCTCGACGCCCCCTGGTGCCCCGTATCCTTCTACATCGACGACTCCAACTGCAAGCTCCTCTCCCGTCCATACGCAAGAGTCGATCGCAGCCGTCCCAAATTTATCTCTTTTTGTATCACGCTCGTTTGTAAAATGCCGAAAAACGTCCTCTCTTTTGAATTGCGCTATTAATGTGTCGGTTGTCTTATCTCGCCACTAATAGTTGGGACCGCCTAGCAGCGCAGAAGACAATGGCCGGAGCAGTGGAAGTGGACAGGGCTTTGGCCGCAGGAGGAAAGGCTTGCTGCGCTCAGGAAGTGAAGGGACCGGGCTATGCATCGCCGCTCGAAGCCATGAAAGGGCCTCGCGAGGCTTTGATCTACGTCACCTGCGTCTATAACGGTGAAATAACTCGCAATCTCCATCCTCTTTGTATCTCTGCTCAGTTTTTATGTTTTCTGGTTTGGATAACATTCGGAATTAGTTTTGTTTCCCCAAGTCGGTGGTGGTATTATTTGATTTGACCTATGAAATGGAGATCGGATTCAACGTTATAGCTCCGATCAGAATGAAAGAAAGAAAAGGAGGAGGGTTCTTGGATCTGAATCATGGGCTATTGCGGTGATCTTTACTGTGAAGTTTTTTTTTACTCATTGTAAGATTTACATGCATGCTTCACAATTCCTACGTATCTACACTTTGATATTTATATTTATACCAATTTAACTATGCAAGAAAATGTGCATTTCATTTTCAAAAATTAGTTATAGTGGCATTTTTTATGGGATATGAAATATTCGAGTGTTAGAAATATAAAAAAGTCAAATTTTGTTAGGTGTTAGATACATAAATTCTTAAGAATTGTGTGATGTGTATGTAAATGCCATAAGCGTATGTTAGGTGTTAGATACATAGATTCTTAAGAATTATGTGTGATGTGTATGTAAACGCACTAATCAAACAGCTAAACTGCTTACTCAGAACAGGGGCAAAATGGTCAATTTTCCAGAATCAACTGTTTTCCATAAGTGTCAACCAAACTGTCAGACAGTTTATCCGGATCAGCTGCTCATCAGCAGATTATCAGGATAAGCTGCTTATCAGCAGAAGCTGGATAAGCTACAGCTGCCCCAAACAGACCATTTATGTAACTTACAGTCTCTGCTGTGGAAGGAAACATGCATTTTGATATTGACATGTGTAATTTGACTTTGGCGACTAATGGACGTCCTTGGCATGTGGTTCCTAAGGCAATTAAGTGAATCCTTGGATGATTGTTCTTAAGTTAAAATTTAAAACTGAATAAATTGTGATTATAAAATATGAAAATTGTTTTTGATTTAATTAAAAGTTAAATTGAGATTGATCTTTTGTGAGGCGTCTACTAAACTAGTTTATAAGGAGTTCATAAATACTGAATTGAGGAATGAAATTCAAAACATTTTGGTTGAATAATATTTCAAGTTTCAATTTTTTTAGTATAAATTGTATGTATTATTCCGACGAATGCCACTTACCTAATTCTGACATAATTCATCAAATTGTGCCTTTCTTTTAATATGATAAACTTGTTCCATTTTCTATTTCACCAACATAAAGTTAGTATTTTGTTTAGTTACTTTAGTACTTTTAATCTTTTTATTAAAAGTGACAAGTAAAAAAATCTAATATGTAGAAATTAACCTAATTAGACTATTAATTGTATAAAATATGATGAAAATATGACACTCAATAGGACACAATGAAGAAAAAATATTCATGTAGCAGGCCCCACTTAGTGGGATAAAGGCTTGTTGTTGTTGGTGGTGCTCTCTCTCTCTCTCTCTCTCTCTCTATATATATATATATATATATATATATATATATATATATATTGTATTGGCTAAATTATAAGAAATGTTTTAGCATTCAATTAACGGTTTTTAATTCTAGCATCACAAGTTTTCATTTAAAAAAATTACTGGATTAACTCATACGAATTATGTATGAAACCACAATTTTAATTTGCATGGAAGCATGCTACACATCAGTTACATTATGAAAACCTAATCCTAATTTATCCTGCATCATATTGGTATCAGATATTTAAAATGTATCAAAAATATTACTTAGAAGTGGTTCAATTATGTAAGTAATTTAATAGAATGTGAAAGAGATGAAATTATAACAACATTTAAACACATTCTTTAATCTCATGTCATCAATCCTCCCACTAGCTAATCTTCCAAAACTATGACATTCCTTCCTATTAAGGGCCGTATCCTATCATGGATACAACAAACTGCAAATTTCTATAAATTATTCCATTTTCTCACAGCCACTAAATAACATCATCATTAATCAAAAACCTATAGAAACTGGAGGGGGCCCTTCAGTAGTCCCAATTCCTTCCCATAGCCACTCGTCATCAGTCAATAGCCCACAGCCTACTGCTTCAAAAAAACACTTCAAAACCATCAGTAAGGAGGAAGTAAACCAGATTGCTGCTTCAGCTGCCAATGCCCAGCCTAAGGATACACCATTGGAAGAGGCTATTTGCATGTCACGTGGAAGTTTGTTAAAAAATGCTGCCCCCATCAGCCCCCCTTCTACTCGCTAGCAAGCAGTCCTCTTACTGACATCCTAGCAAACTTCTTCATTACATTATCACTTCTTTCTATGCCTACTAATCTGAATAAGAATAACTATAAGCAACCTAAAATGGATTGCATGTCCACATCCATCAACCTCTTGCAACAGCAAAGTTTATTGTAATCCCTTAAAAACCCTTCTGACATAGTTTTTTTTCTAGTTTTTCTAGCCTTCTATAACAATGCCTTACAAAAACAATTAAAAAAAAACTCAAACTTTAAACCCAACTTAATTATTTTGCAAGTTAAATGACTCAAATTACTGATTTAGGAGCATTCATTCTGAACGTTCCACAATCCTCTGGGAAGATAATTATTTAAAAATAATCACCAATCCACAAAAATTAGAAGACTACAAATTTATGGCATTAAATTACCTTTTGACTCTTGAGACATAAGGAGCGTCAACATAAGATCAACAATAGACAAAGATTTAAAATTCAACATACGCACAATTTAGCACACCATTTAGCAGTACTAAAATATACGTCAATTTGTTTATCATAATTTAGCATGATATAGTTCACAGGAATAATCTTGGAAAAAAACTAAAAACTCGGTGTTGATAAAAATAATGATATTAAAGTCAATAAACTATCTCAATATGCTGTTTAGTTGTGAATGATGCTTTCAAGAAGTGAATTAATTGACCATTTTACCAAGTACTAAAAAACCTTCAAAGCCATCAGAATAGCAAATAACAATGTGTGCAGACTCCCGTAAAAATGACAAAAGTAAGTAGGCAAAACAATTACTAAAAGAAGATGCTGATAGAAGCTAGAAGCATATATATACATATACATATGAAAAATAATTAGCAGGAACATTATTAAAATTAACATGCACAAAAATGAATAGACATGCACATGAGAGAACAAAAGAAACTTATTCTCTGCAGAATGTCAAAGGCTGAAACAAAAAAAAAAAATAGAAACGATAATTGCCCTCCGCGATAATTGCCCTCCGCATAGACGCAGAAAAAAAAAAACTGCAGCAAGAAAATTTCCTCATCTCTGCAGAATGTCAAAGGCTGAAACAAAAAAAAATAGAAACGATAATTGCCCTCCGCATAGACGCGGAAAAAAAAAAACTGCAGCAAGAAAATTTCCTCATCGATCCAACAAGCACGAGACAATAAAAGGGAGCACAAACCTTTGTATGTGGCCATAGATGGTCTGGAGAAACATGCATTGTGCAGCCCTCCTTGCCAGACTCCCATTCAACAACAAAGTGTGCCATTACAGGCATTGAACCATAGCTAAACCATAAACTCATAAGACCAACAGCCTCAATCTTGAATGTTCTTCTCATCTGTTCGGTTAACTTGTCAACAGGCTCATTAACAGCTTTTTGTACTTGCAGCTTATTGTCAGAGCATGCATTGGAATCATCTAATTTACCATCTGCTCTGGCCCCAATTAGCCTCCTCATTCCACGAGCAAATAACCGTGCATTTGATAGCCTTCTTAAATCCGAAACAAGCCTCGCAATGCTATCAGCTTCAACTGTTCTATAACACAGAACCACTCCTTCAGGATCATAATGGATGTGAGAATCAACATCAGATGCATTAGCAATACGAACACCAGGGTACCATGGTGTACCAGTACTTCCCTTATAAAGTTCCCATAATTCCTGAAAATGTTGGTCCTTTATTTTAACATCCCAATGCATGCTTCCAGGTTTGCCTAAACGTAAACAAATATGATGCCATGAGCCATCTTGAGCAAATGGCAATCGGAACCACAAGTTTGAAGATGAAGATCGTAGACCAACTTCTTCAACATAGGGAATATCAAGAGCTTCCATTTGGCTTGTTAGTCTAGCATGCTTAATACACAGTGAACAATGTCTAACAACATGGAGGAGGACAGACACATATATGTTTGAAGGAGCATTTCCATGAGTAGCCTCAGCAAGGAGACTCCCATACATGTGTACGCCAGATCTGCGTGATGGGAAAGCTGACAATTCGGGTAAATCAGTGGATTCTGAGGTTTTCATTCTCTTCCGTGGACGACCATCCTGCTCTAGCTCTTTGAATGATGGTATCATGTTTAAAATGTCAGACAGGGACCTTTTATGAGCAGTTCTTTCCTGTTTAAAAATAACCCTTAGCCCTAAGGCCTGTGAGGTTCCAGATTCTAAATTTTGACCTGTGGCACCCAACAAGTCATGAAGGAAATGATAGTAAATCAATACTAACAATAAAAATACACCAAAATAATGCACTTACAAGAGGGGGCAGCAATCAATGAACTTGAATCAGTACTTCTCAAATATCCAGCTAAATGGTTAGAAGATGAACCTTTGGAACCATTTATTTTGCTAATAGGTACTGAGGCCCGAGAAACAGTTGCCTGGGGTGGAGACATCAACTGGCTTCCTCGATTCACAACTAATGCAGAACCTGAAGAACCGGTTATCAATTTGGCTTGATCCTCATCCAAAGAAGTAAACTGACCAAGGTCACTAGAATACAGAGGCTTGAGAGAGCTCAAATCCTGTTCAGATTTTGAAGATGAAAGTTTTTGAAAAGGGGTGTTTCTTGTTGAGCTTGAGGAGAAAATAGCTGAATTGCTACTGTTAAGTTGAACCTTCGCATTACTAGATGGATAAAACGAGTTATTCAAACTGGCAGAAACTTTGTTGAAGGTGCTTATTTGAGAATTTTGGATTCCACCATCCAACTTTGGGGAACCAACAACACCAACAATTGTTCCTTGACTATTAGTAGAAAGAGAGCTCAAGTGTGAAAAGGATGGCACATTAAATGAAGAGGGAAAATTTTGACCCGCAACATGGGTTCCTGAAGCATCTTTGTCAGATTCAAACACTTCATCAACAATAGATGAAAAGCTTGGTTGAGTAGAGTCAGGAAATTGCAAAGCATGCTCCAACCCCAACATTGGAAGGACATCTTTAGAAAGTTGATTCAAAGTAGCCAAGTTTGGGAGGGAGCTTATCTTCTGCCAGTTTAGAAGGCTCAAATTCAAATCATCATCAACCATCTGCATCTGACTAATGTCAATTTTATTAAAGCGAACAACAAGATTAATGTTACCGACTGACAATGACTTCCCATCAGTTTCTGGTTGAGTCTCTAGCAAATTAAAAAGAGGTTTGAAATCCTTATCAAGCTGCATCAACAAAAAATAGGAGTTCCCAGATTGTGGAAACCCCATTAATAATAAATCTGAACCCTGTAATATAGATTTTGGAATCTTCAGAGTAGCCAGGCAGCTTTCATAAACCTGCAAAAAGTTACTTCAAAAGTTTTACAAAGTTTCTTTTTATGTCAAAAATAGAAAAGCATAAACTGCTAGGAATGGAATTCGTTAAAAAAACTGAACAATTTTAAAAGCATTTACAAAATCAATAACCAACAAAATTAAAGACCATAAAAATAAAAAAAAAAATTGCAATGCAACTGGGAAGAACAAACCGACTTAAATAGATAATAATAAAATAAAGTAAAAAAGCAAAAAAGTTCTGAGCAATTGATAAGAATTACCCTAGCCTATAGCAGAGATTAGAGGTTGGTACTCAATAAAATGATAATACTCTTTACATTAAAAATATAAATTCCATCCTAAGTTGAAATGCGCATGAATCATGTAGAAAATGCACAAACATGATGACAACTTTTTAAAGCACACTTCGTTAAACATACATTTTTTTTAAATAAAATGCAAAAAAGTAGAGCCAAACGAAGACAAAAACCCAGATGTTCACCAATGGTCATGCCTCCAAGGCTTAAGCAACTTGGATTTGATAGGGCCAAAAATTGCTTTGTTAGTCGAGTTTTGATGGAAAATTAACACTCTTGAGCCTTGACATGAATTTTCTCCTACTACATAGAGTTCATGTTGGATAAAAGGACCAATGGCTCCAAATTAGGCCCCAAGTCAAAGCAAAGACCCAACTTAAGATAACAAACAGAGCCCACAGTGTCCATAATCTCTTGAACATTTATATCAAAGTAAACCAAAAATGTGAATCGGTATAGCTAACCATGAGAACCAAAGAAACTTTATCACCACCCCTCCCAATCTCCTTTTAAGTATAAATTAGTTTATCTCTACATGATGCAGAAAGTTATTTGTGGAGCACAAAAAACAAAAATAGACCCTCAAAAACATCATTATTGAAAATTCACCCATGATAGGTAGAGGTAATAAACCATAGAGATACGCATCAAAGACAACCAGAAAAATAAAATTATCAAATAGGACAAATTTTTTAGGTATTCTGTTACCTACCATAAAATCTTCCTATTGATAGTATCGTTAATCCTCGCAAAAACTAGTAGTAGCCCACAATCAACCCTGGATTTAAGTGTAATATTTATATGCTATAGCAAGCTTAACGATCTAAGAGAAACAAGAAGTCGTCCCTGTACAAAAATTAATGCTGGAATAGATGTATTATAAATTTGTTAAAGTATGCCATCCTAGAAACCACTTCAAGAGCACAGTGACACTCGTCGCACAAATGGATTCTTGGTCTAGTGACAAGCAAAAATACATGACATAATCATTTGATCTGACAAGGTAGCTATACATGACATAAGCAACCCCATTGTTTAAATATTCATAATCTTTCACCAAATCAAATGATAGAATGATTGAGATATTTCCATTGTATTCTTTACTCACATACTCTAAAACAGCCACGAGTACCTGTTTTATAATTATGAGCCGAACTCTAGTCAACAAAGTGATAAGATATTAGCTAATAAAGCACCTAAACAGTAAATTGGGATACTAAATTAATAAAGGTCACGCTTAAGTTCAAAAACTAAACCTAAGATGTTAAAGAAAGCCTAGAAATCGAAAGGTGGAATGAATAATTCATAGTTTCTCCGTTTGTGAAGTGTATGATTAACCAATAAATGATCATTTTATATTCATGCCAGTTTTCGTATTTCCTTTACAATATAAGCAAGGAAAAGAATGGGCATGCTGAGGTAATTAGTTTGACGAAGATATAATTTAGGATTTATACTATAACAACAACAACAAGCCTTTATCCCACTAACTGGGGTCAGCTACATGATCTAGGATTTATAATGTATGAAAAAAATTTCCAGGTGAATTGGAGGAATATCAAATTCACAAATTAAACTAACTATTTTCTTCATCAAGTTTAGCCCATTTTGCTTTGGTCAATGCTTGCTTCCATTTGAACAATCAACCCTGATGATAGTTGAGCCATCATTCCAACCAGTAAGTACCACCTCAAACACAAGCTTCAACTCCAAATACTCTTCCCAAAACATTTACTTGTATGTCTTTGAATATATCACACCCACTAGAGTCCCTGATATCACAACTATCACTTCCTTAGCCTCCAATCTCTATATTACTTCAAATCCCACTTCTCTATATTCCTCATATCCTGTCACTGCCACTTCTCTATATTACTTTAAAATTTCAAATTTTTCAGTCGACTCATTGCAGCCATGGAGACATGTTTTAAGGCTGCTCAAAATCAGTACTGTAATGATGCACCTGCACTTATTGGTGTAAATAAAATGTTAATGGTGGTTGGTATTTAGCCTAAAAAAGTGGCCCAAACGCCAAAAAGACAACTTCAATCTGACTCATGAAAGCTTTAAGCTAAACTCTTCACAATGAAGCCGAAGCGCAACTCCATCTACAAAAGGAAGTAATTGGTTATTGTTGAGTTCACGCCAACAAGGAACTAAATGGAAAAACAATCTGCTTTGAGCAAGACAACCTGAGAAAAACAAATATTTCCTATTAGATTTAGTTTGTTTATCGAAAAAATGAGGATAACCCTTGTTGGATGCATTATGCAATGTTCAGGTTTCAATCCCGAGCTCACTTCAGTGCCAACCAATTTAAACTAATATCTTATATTGCGCATAGAAGGCAGGTCACGAGTGGTGGCTGAGTTTCTCCTACTGCATCTGGAGGTTCCAGCTTCGTCCCACAGATAATATCTGTGTAATGTAAAGGAAAAGCTGCATAGATCAACTCTCCCCAGACTACGTAAGGGGTGTGTGCTTCTCTTATATTGGGCTTAAAATGATTGAACCCTCGAGAAAAAAAAATCCCTTAAAAACCGGGGCTAGCCA